CAGATTTTAGTTGATTGTTAGTACTAAAATTTAGATAATCTCATAAAACCAAAAGAACAATAAAATTGTTTTAAACAAAAACAAACATAAGAAAATGGAAATAAAGGTGGAAAAAATCAACATCAACTATGAAGTGTGACTGTGTGCCTTTGAGATTTGTATCCAGGTTTCTCCACCCATTACTTAGGTAAGCTCCAGTGACGTAGAAGATGCAGTGTTATAGAGGTGAAGGAAAGATGTCAAACATGATTTGTGAAAGTTAGACTTTGAAAAAGTTCCTGCCCCAACCCCCTCCTCAAAAGACACGAAAACAATAATACTAAGTAAAGAGTGATATTTTATGTGATGGTATGTTGACCTATAGTAAAAATGTTCATCTCATTGCGTAGAAGGTAAGCAAGCAAAAGCTCTTTTAAATAAGTGCATCTCTTATGTTTTCGCTCTAGAATCCATGAAAGGACTCCTTGGCAGAGAAACCAATTCTTTTGACCAGAAGAAGAAATGTTTCTGAAATCCCAAAACACACTGAAAATACTCAGTCTAAAATTTTCAGAATATACTATCATCTTAAAAGTAATTTTGTGTCAGACGGTATCAAACAAAGTTCAAAATCTCAAATTCTTCCCCAGGACATGCTGCCATTTACTTATTTTAATCTCAAATAATCAGTAATTTAGGAAAACCTACATAATCAGTAAGAGAAATGAATTTCACATTACAGATCTTAAACCAGAACTTCTTTAAGATTTCCAAAACAGCTCATGTTTTATAGTCTATTTCTGATAATCCAAGTTTATCATTTGAAACTTTCCAGTTATTTATCCCAAAGACTCCAGGATTTTTTTTTAAAGCCACTAGACTGGGGAAATTAGGAAAAAGAATTAAGAAAGCCCCACTGAGATTACTCTAAACTTTAGGAACGTTCATAAATTTTACAAGTTCAAGGACTTGACACAAAGATCTTCATGCATGATCCACCAATTACAACCACTGAGCACACTATCCAAGACTCCTGCAGAGCTGAAAAGGCTACTAATCCTGAATAGTCTAACATCAATCAGATCATCATTCCATCAGAAACCTGATAATTTCACTGTGGTTCTTCACTGTGTTGTGATCCATTCTCATGTTTCTATAGAAAAGTTTTCTTCTATCTGAATCAACATCCCAGTAACTAGAATTTCATTTTCTTTAACTTTCTATTCTTATTCGGCAACTCATGATTGAGAAAGCAATCTTAGTCAAAATTTAAAATTTGAGATAATAACAGTATTATCAAATTTTCAGGGTAATATAAATCTAGATCATAATTTTGCAATAAAAACAATTTCAGTCCAAATTGCAAATAATGACTTAAGCTTATGAGCTACTCAATCAGAAAATTTTACACTAAGACAGCTAATATTCATACTTCAGTGAGGTGGGGAGAAACACGGATAACCTAAAGATTACCCTACCCAAAAAGCAAGCTCACAGAGGGCAGGAGAAGGGAGAGGAAAGGAGGGGCTCACTGCAGTTCTGGTGGACTCAATCCCTTTATGAAAGCACATGTTCTTATTTGTTATTATAATATCCTTGGGTTCATGTTGAAGAACTGAAAATCAAACAAAAAGGTCAACTAAAAATGTTCAACAAAAAGAAAAATGTGAGATGAACTAAGTGATAAAATGAATTTTAAAAGAGGACCAAAAAAAAAAAAAGACAGATGATCTTTGTAAGAATACTAAAAGTAAAAAGAATTCAGCTTGTACTTTGTGCTCACAAAGGGAAAGGAGGTTCCATCAGGCCCTGCAGGGCACAAGAAGCAGGTGGTTTGCTCAGGCATCAGCAGAAATGGACCCCGAAGAACTATACTCAGCTTCTTCTATATGGTGTCCAAGTAGGGAAAGCAAAGCTCTGCAAAATGCTGAGGTTTTAGAAGTATTACGATGCTTAGGAAAGATCACTGGTCTGGAGTTGCAGCAGCCCCAGTGTTGAGAGACACGCTAGGCTTCTAGGAGAAGAAAAATAGAAAGGGAAGAAGAGTAGGAAAGGGAAGGAAAGGGTGGAAAAGCACAGATTATTAGTAAACAGTAGGTTCAACACAGTGAGTTGCTCATAAATCCTTTATATACAATCAATGAAGCTGGTCAGCTCCTATGACTGGTTCTGAAGGAACCAGAAATGGGAATTTGCAAAGTGGCACCAAAATACATGTCCCAGTTAGGGATAGCCAAATGATAACAAAAACACAACATGGTTTAAAAACATGCAATCTTTACCTCCCCCTCCCTCTCCCACTTCTTCCCAAATCCAATGAGATGGACAACTTTTCAGTAAAACATCTTAACATGGTTAAGAAGTCAAATTCAGAATGCAAACATCTGCCCAGGTGTGCATAATACATTCTACCTATGAGTAGGAAACCAGAAGTACAAAGACATGTTTTCATAATGCCTCTAGGGAAGCAGTTCACAAAATGGTGGTTAGTCGCCAAGAACTAAAAGTCTAGAAACAGTAAGAGTGAAGCTGCATGTTCACCCACTTTTTACCCACCCATCCACCACCACCCCTGAACTGTTAAGATGCAGCAGTGAGGGCTATAGAGATAGTCAGGGATTATGGTACTTGCCTTGCAAGCAGCTGATCCCAGTTCAATTCCCTACACTACATATGGCACCTGGAGCTTAGGTGCCAGGGATAAGCCCTGAGCACTGCAGGGTGTAGGTGTTCTGCCCACCCTCCCAAAAAAGAAAATGCAGCGGTGACAAGCAATTGCTACATATAGTTTTGAGTCTCTTCTGGGAGGATTTGATACCTTACTGAAGATCTACTCTGTGCCTTTCAGAAATATTTTTCTTCCTGAAAAGATATGGTACCCACAATGTTCTCTTTTTTTGTTTTTGGATCACACTCGGCAATGCTCAGAGGCAGTAGCTCTCTATGCTCCAGGGTTACTTCTTGGCAGTGTTCGGGTGAACATGCAATGCCAGGGCTCATATCCAGGCCACCTCCATACAGTGTGTTCTAGTATACTGAGCTACCTCTGCTACCCATTCTTTCAACTGGCTGATCAAACTAACCACCTGCAGCCATTCCTTCCTCCAAATACTGTCTTCAGGTTAAAGCTGACCTTGCTTTTTCCCAAAGTTTTAGGAAGGGGATCTCCCAAGTAGTACTCAGGAGGCCAGGGGATGAGGGACCCTCCTGGTTGATTCTTAGATACAGAAGTTTAATGCTGTGACTGAGCATCCCCAGTGGGGATGGACCTTGAGGGCCGTATCTGGCCATGCTGGGAGAACAATGAGGTGTGCTGGCTGCATGGTGATCACCTTAATCCCTGCACTATCTCTCCTTTGAAACAGGATGTTTCTGGGCCAGAGATAACTCAATGATGTAGGCACATGCTTTGCATGCATTGGGTTCCATCCCCAGGGAACCCATACAGTCCCTGAAAAACCATTGGGAGTAACCCCAAGCACAGAGCCAGGAGTAGCCTCCAAATATCACCAGTGTGATCAAACAAGAAGGGGGGGGGGCAAGAGGGGGGGAAACCAGAAATATTTCTATAAATGTTTCCTTGAAACCAAATGATTAGGCAACCATATTCAAAGCATAGACATAGACATAGACACACACACACACACACACACCCCTAAGATTATCAAGAAATACAAAAATTTCAGTTCATAGACCTGGAAGAAAAGGTGGAACTTCTACTTGAACCCAGATTTTAAAGAGTTCCTAATTTATGAGCTTCTGATAAGGATCAACACTAAGTTAGCATCACTGAATGAAACTAATATTCACAACAAAGTGTAGTTATCGAGAAATCTCAGATACTATACACACACACACACATACATTTTCTAAGGTTATAAAATAAATTTTAAATCCTGGTAAATTACTATTGCTAACAAAAGATTTAAAATTAGAAACCAAAAATTCTACAGTCTCAAAAAAGGCTTTCAAGTTTGAGACACATGTACAAGAAAAGAAACACAGACACAAAACATGTCTAGTGCTTACTTCCCCTGCAGTAGTGGCTCAAATGTGATGCCCCACTTAAAAGTACACTCTGCTGCAGTTGACAGTGTGCCTGATTATTAGAAATCTACTCAATTTAAGTCAACAGTGCAGTGACTCTCACTTCAGCTACCTAAGAAAAGATATATATAAAAGCACATCCTGTTGAGTCCTACTACTAGAAACATGTACTGCTAGTGCTAGTCCTTCAAGAATTCTGCTAATATACAGATACTAGGGCCAAGGGAGTTTTACTAGTTATGAGACAGAAAGCCATAGGAACTGTTGATCCTAGTAATGGGGTTAAGAGTCAGATTTCAAAGTAATCACACAATCACAATCACAAATCATCCTGTTATTCGTCGATTGCCTCGAGTAGGGCCCAGAAACGTCTCCTTCATCCTAGCCCTGAGATTATATTCAAGGCTCTTTAGGAGAATGAGACCCATCATTGTTACTGGTATTTGGCATATTGGGTACGCCACGGGGAGTTTGCTAGACTCTGCCGTGTGGGCAGGCTACATTTGGTAGCCTGCCAGTTTGTCCGAAGTAGGAATGAGTAATAGTAATAGATAAGGAGAAAATAAAAGAAAAACAGAGCACAAAAGAGAAAAGGGAAGAACTTTTGATGTGTAGTTCACAGGTTTCCAAACACTGAACTATGGGACAGTAAACAGTGCAGTGTGTATTTAGGGATAAGACCTGCCGAAATAGCAATAGTGGTCAAAGGCTCCAACATAAGAAAATTTGATGAGAATCACTATGCATTTATATTTGAAACAATGACTTAGCTCTTACATTGGTATAACAACAACAAATGTTCAAAGGATAGAAAAAAGTCACTCCACTATTTTGGATTTTATGTCATAGTGCCAAGTTTAAATATATCTGAACAATAACACTCCTAGAAATAATACATTTGCTTGCATAAAAAAATTCTCTTTAAAAGGACAATTCAAGGTGTTTATTGTAAGTCAGGTATTTGACCCACTTACCTGCATTACCATTCCCTTCTATTCCATGATCACCATTGGCTAGCACTGTTGGTTTAGAAGATGAAGTTCCTGAAACAAAACACAAAAATTACCCACTATGAAAGAAAAGTAAACAAATGTCTAGTCAAATTTTTGCCGTTCTTCACAATGCTGACTTAAAAAAAATCAAAATTTAACATCCAACCAAGAAAACTCAGAGGGCTGGAGAGATAGTACACTGGGTACAGTGCATGCACTGCATGTGGTCAACTGGGCTTCAATCCCAGTATCCCATATGGTCCCCCAAGCACCATTATCCTTGAGCATCATAGGGTATTGCCCCCAAACCGAAAAAAAAAATTGAATGCAAAAAATTTAAAGACAAACACATATTTCAGTGCATGAGCTAGTTCCCTGTTCCTTCAATTATTTAAAAAAAAAAAAAGCCTGTGATTGAGGCCTATGCAGATCCTAATCTGTTTGTGGTTTGGGGTTATCTGCTTCATAAAGTATAGAAGAGGAAGGGGAAGGGGAAATGGATTCTTGGGTCTGGAGCAATAGTATACTGGTAGGGCACTTGCCTTACATGCAACACACACAGGTTCAATCCCTGGCACCCCATACGGTACCGAGTCCACCAATAGAAGCAGGAGTCGACCTTGAACACAGGCAGGTGTGCCTTCCCTCCCCACAAAAAAAGGAAAAACAAATATCCTGATGAGATCTTTACTATACCAACTATCAATTTGAAGAAATAAAACACCTCCAAAGGCTTTAGCTATATTTAATATTTCAGAAACCTGCCTATCTCTATAGTTAACAAACTTACCCAAGTATTTCATACAAATCACACTTCAAGAATCTCAAAAAGAAGGGCGCTGGAGAGATAGTGTAGCAGGTAAAGTACTTGCATGTCACTGACCCAGGTTCAACCCCTGGCACTACATATGGTTTCCCAAACCCACCGGGAATAATCCCTAAGCACAGACCAAGAGTAAGACCTGAGCACTTCTGGGTGTGAGCATTTCTGGGGGTGGACTGCTGTCCCATCCCCAAATGACCTCAAAGAAACATTTTTCAGTAAGACAAGTAAAAATCTGGAACAGTAGTCACAAGAACATAAAATATAAGATTTTACTTTGGACTAACTACACTTTCCAACCTTCTCTCACAAATCCAAGGCAGAAATCATTCATACAAATTAATTGGAAAAAGTTTAATTTTGCTATGTCCTATTATCTTTGGAAACTAAGGAGAACCTAAAAAAAAATGAAAAGAGAGTATCAACTAACTATAAAAGAAAGGACTGAAAGATAACAGACTGTTATTAAATGCCCACTATGTACCAGGCACCACGCTAAGGTTTCACATATTGGGTTAGAACATATTTGAGGAGAGCTAACAAATTATCCAGAGATGCCAAATTTGTTCTATTCCATATTGATGCCAAATGGGATAGAACATATTTGGCATGAATAAATTTCCTTTTACATTTACACAGTAAGTTAAAAATTTATTCTTTCTAGCCCAAGAAAGAAGACATATTTTCGAAAATCTGCCTCATTTGAAAATGCAGATTGCAAAAAAGAAAAATGCAGATTATAGAAAAACACAAATTATAAAAATTAATACCATCTTTTAGCTAAGAAAGATACAAAATCCTTATTTGGGGGAGGAGGGGCCGCGTCACACCCAGAGGTTCTCAGGGGTTACTCCTGGCTCTGTACTCAGGAAATCATTCCTACTGGTGTTCAGGGGGAACATATAAGATGCTGGGGACTGAACCCAGGTTAGTCTGTGTGCAGGGCAAGTGACCTGGGTGATCCCTAGCATCCCATATGGTCACCTAAGCACTGCCAGGGGTGATCCCTGACAGCAGAGTCAGGAGTAACCCCTCAGCACTGCAGGGTGTGGCCCCAAAAACAAAATTGGCAACCTCATATACCACTGGGAGACTAAAGTGGAAATACTTTTACATCACAAAGATTTGACATTCTATGAAATTTTAAAATGCTAATTTAACTTAACAATTCACTTCATGAGAGGAGTTCACAAAATACAGAAGGCTTGAGATAAACAGTTCAAAGAGCTGAAGTAGATGCTTTGCATAAGGTTGCTCCAGGTTTAATCCCTGGCACTGTATGGTCCTATGATCTCAAAGCATGGCTAGATGTGACCCAAAATCAAACAAAAACCACAGAAAAAAATGGGGGGCTAGATTAAGTCCAAATAGTTCAATATTAGAAGCTTTCAATATATGAAGCCAATATATATTTTTATTCTATTAATAGAATAAGATGGAGAGGGGCTGGAGCGAGGGCGTTTGCCTTGCACGCGGCCGACCTGGGTTCGATTCCCAACATCTCATATGGTCCCCTGAGCACCGCCAGGAGTAATTCCTGAGTGCAAAGCCAGTACTAACTCCTGTGAATTGCCAGGTGTGACCCAAAAAGCCAAAAAAAAAAAAAAAAAAAACAAGGAAAGATTGTACTTAACAGGTAGGGCATTTGCATTCCATGCAGCTGACCCCAGGTTAATGCAGCATCCTATATGGTACCCTGAGCAGTGTCAAGAGTGATTGCTGAGTGCAGTCCTAGGAGAACCACTGAGCATTGTTGGATATGGTCCTTTCCCCACCCCACACACACAAAAAAGTTTGCTTCAAAGAATAAAGATCTAGGGGCAGGACAGTATAGCAGCTACAGCACTTGCTTGTAGCTGACATGGGTTTGATGATCCCCAGCACCCAATATGATCCTCCTAGACCCACCTGGAGTGATCCCTGAGGGCAGAGCCAAGAGTTAAGCCCTTCCCACCACTTAATGATGTCCCCCCACACAAAAAGAAATAAAGATCTAGACATCAAAAATGAGAAAATCCTGCAGCACTGTCCTCCCGTTGTTCATTGATTTGCTCGAGGGGGCCCAGTAACGTCTCCATTGTAAGACTTGTTACTGTTACTGTGTTTGGCATATTGAATACATCACGGGTAGCTTGCCAGACTACCTTGCGGGCGAGATACTTTCGGTAGTTTGCTGGGCTCTCCGAGAGGGGCGGAGGAATTAAACCCGGGTTGGCCTGGCCAGCCGCGTGCAAGACAAATGCCCTACCGCTGTGCTACCACTCCAGCCCAAGAAAATCCCGTATTATGAAAAACTATGAGATAGCTAAGAAAATATGAGGAAATAGTACCAAACTGAAGGAATATGTCCATACTGGCCAAGGATGTCAGAACTCCAAGGCACTCTTAAAACTGCAAATAACAGGGATGATGGAGACTATTACAAGTTTCAAGGTCAGTCACCACTTTCTCCACACTTTCCTGCCCCCATTCCACAATTGTCAGCTGTGTATGTCAGACATGAAAAAAGAGATTAAATACTTTGGCAAAAGAGGAAGCTAATTCACTGAGTGGCTGGCAATAACCCTGGAGTGGAAGTTCAATCACAACTTACCTGAGGTTCTGTCACACTGCTGACAGAGGCAGGTGGTAGAAAATGTTATGCACCGTTAAGAAATCTAATAATAAATTATGGAATTCTCAGCACCTAATTCAAGTATTTAAACATACAGTCACATTACTGTTCCGTATATAGAATATTAAATTATATGAATGAGCTTTCCTGGCTATTTGTCTATAAAAGCAAGAAGAATAAAAATAGGTAAAATTTTGTTTCATCCTAGTCAGATTCAATCAGGAATGGATCATGATCTAATCACAAAAATATAAACAATGCTATCATCTCATTAGAAAAGTAATTCTGTGACAAACTGATAGCTCAACAGGCTAATAAACCCAAGCTTTGCATGCAGAAAGCCCTCCTGCACCTTATGGTCCCTAGGCACACTCAGGAGCAATCCCCAAACATGAAGCCAGCAGTAGGCATTGAGCATGATAAGGTACAGCCCAAAAAACAAAGAAAAAGAAAATCATTTCCAATCAAATTGAACTTTGTCATAATTTACCTAAAACTGTAATATATAACTGCCATAAGATGAATTTCATTTGAACCAAATTTCTTTTGAATTTATAGTACCTTATGATTTCAAAATTGTTTCAAAGTGTTTGTGTCTATGTGTGTGGTACCAGGAACTTTTTGAATTAAAAGTTTACATTCAGGGCTCAGAACAATAGTAATTCGGATAGGGCATTTGCCTTGCACGCCACTAACCCAGGTTCAATCCCTAGCATCCCATATGGTCCTCTAAGCACCATCAGCGGTAATTCCTAAGTGCAGAGCCAGGAGTAACCCCCTCTGAACACTGCCAAATGTGACCCCCCCATAAAAAGTTACGTTTACATTCATGTAGCACTGTAGCACTCACTGTCCTCCCATTTTTCATCGATTGGCTCAAGAGGGCCGAGTAATGTTTCCCAGTGTGAGACTCGTTGTTACTGTGTTTGGCATATCGAATATGTCACGGGTAGCTTGCCAGGCTTTGCCATGTGGGCATGTATCTAGTAATAAAAACATGATAACCTAGTCAACCAAAAGAAGGCTTTCAAGTACAAAAATGTAGTGTGTTTTGATAAAAGTCTTTACATGGAAAGGAAGAGCGGAAGAAAACAAACAAACAAATATCTGTATTTCCAATATAAAGAATCTATAGCTTACTCATTTTTTCAAAAATTGATGATGATGATGATGGGAATAAAATTAGAAACATTTGAATGTTTAAAAGGTGATGTAAAATATTTTTAAATGGTGGCAAAAAAAATTCTGAAAATGATCATACTTTGTAACTATTTAAAATTCTATTTACAATAGCACCCTGATGATGCCTTCAGACTTCCAGATACCCCAAAACTGCTGCTGTGCCTTTGGCCAGACTCCAACAACTTGGGTCCAAGTTTACCAAGAAAGTAAATGGCCAAAAATTAGGTATGTGAGAGATACACCCACAAACCACCTCTGGCTCAGCTATACAATTGGAGGCATGGCCTCTCTAGATCCTGATCAAACTGCTTAATGGCCATGATCCCAGAGACCCAGAAACAAATCTCGGAACCCAGCAGCTTTTGGCAGAAATGCGTCGGTCCCCGCAATAGAATACTGGCGCCAGGCCACACCAGGGGGAAAGGGTGCTGT